ACACACAAACACACACAAACACACGCGAACACACACGAACACACACAAACACACACGGAGGTTCTCACCGTCAGACAATACATCACTGTTCATGTTAACGCTGTATAATCTCTGCTCGTACAGGAGATAGGGTAACACATGTAACTCAGAGACGTCACCATGGACCTTCACCAGTTCATTACTCACATTAAGATCAGTATTTATTGTAATACAATGTTTAAATATGTAAATGAGGCATTATGTAATGGTAACGTTTGGTGAAATCAGAAGAAATCTACAGACGCAAACAGACAAAGTAGTAAAATAAATGTTTTCTCTTCATTAGTCTGAAAGAAGATGAGTTATGGAAGAAAAATAGACCAAAATCTCTGAATAGACACATGCTGTTGCATGAAGTTTCTCCCTTTAACACTTGGAAATAAACACAAAGGTTCATATGGACACAACATGTTTATTATATATATATATATTTAGTACCGTTCCTCTGTATTTTGTACTAGGTCTGGTTCAGTGGGACTCACCTCTCTGCTGGCTGTTGGTTCCTGCTAACAGGGCGTAGAAGATGTGGTAGTTTCTCTCCCCCGGGTTCTGACTGACCACTCGGTTCTGTGGGGAACCAGAAGAACCGCTATTAACTCCTCATATTCATATCAACACACACACACACACACACACCCACACACTTCTTACAGTGGTACTCACACCAACAGACATCCTCTGAGCATGAATCACTAACATGTTTGATAGAATGCTTCATACACAGAGATCAGAAGAACATTGTGCTGCATTCGTGGGTTTAGAAGTGTTTGTTTTTACACCATTGAGAGCTGTGGGAGGAACCTTTATCTGATGGAGTGTCACTTTAAATGCGATTACAGACGTGGAAGCAGGAAGGACACTCACCTTTTCTAAGAGGTCTGTGGTCAGAAAGCGTGTGAGTCAAGGACAACAACAGCTGGAGAACACCAGAGTGATGAGGGATTCAGAATAAGAAGTCATTTGGATTTACATGAGCAAACACATGATAGATTTTAATGAGTCGCAGCATCACTCTGCACCTCGTCACAGAGGGAAAGTACACTACGAGTGGGGGTTCAAGGATACAGTCAACGATCCGGCCTCCCTGGATGTTGCCCTTCTGGCTGAAATGCAGCTGGACAAACTTCCCAAAGCGGCTGGAGTTGTTGTTGTAGACGGTCTTGGCGTTTCCAAAGGCCTCCATGATGGGACTGGGGGGGGGGGGGGCAGGAGCAGGGTCATTAACCAGGCGATGAAAAGAGGAAAGAGAAAAGAGGAAAGAGGTTCTCTGAAATAGTCGACCATCAGTATCATCACCTGCTCTCCAGCAGAGCCTCCTCCACGTGGGACGTCCTGTCTCTGGACGACACCTCCATGGAGTGCTGGCTCATGGCCGACAGGAACTTCAGGATCAGCTTGGTGCTCTCGGTCTTCCCAGCGCCGCTCTCTCCACTGGGGGGGGAATAAAACACACAAGTCATAAGATTACTGAAGGTGGTGAGAGACAACACGACTCCCCCACACGGGTAGCGGTGATTGATTATCTTTATTTCACATGTATACTTAATCTTCTTCTTGTTATAGAAAACAATATCGACGTTATTCTTCTTCTAGTTATTGATGAATTAGTATTATCTGTGGTAGTAGCAGATGTAGCAGTACTTGTAGTAGCAGTACTTGTAGTAGCAGTACTTGTAGTAGCAGTAGTAGCAGTAGTACTACAAGCAGTGGTGATATAACAAGACAAACATGTCTACTGTATGTTTTACATGTTTTAGATGTTTAGATGTTTACATGCTGAAGAGCCCTCGAGAGGTCAGTTATGTTACAGAAATACTGAAGGTTTGAACCCTGCATGGTGTGTGTGTCTACAGTGATATGAACTTTTGATTATAGGAGCAAAGGAAATCTCTTCATTTAAGATGAGTCTGTGTGTCTTTGGTTTAAACTCACGTTCACTTACAACTAACTGTATCACACGTGAATGAATCACTGCTGATGCATCATGGGAAATATTCCAGCACTCGACCACTAGATGGCGCACTAGGACACCGCTGACGAGGATGCAACAGCAGACCAGCAGGCCTGAACATGGGAGTGATGGTAGTTATGGATATTTTTGTGTTTTTGATTTTTAACAATAGTAAATCCCAGAGGGTCATTAAACGCAACACAATAAACAAGATAGAAAAACTAAATCTAAGAATCACCCACCAGATCTGTAGTTATTACATCATACCTCCCACTTCAGTAACGGGTAACAGACGTTATAAGAACCCTCTCACACACCTCCGGGGACATTTAAGACAAACCTGGCAACCCACACAGTGAGGTTCAGGCTGGTTAATTATTGACCTGGAAACCTTTCTCACAGACACCGAGAGAAGCTCTTGAGCAATAAATCTGTCCCCAAATAACGAGACACATTATTCAACACAAACAGGACGCTTCACAGAAAGAGTGTCCTTCACAATGAACAACACACCGAGACCTTTAGAAGACACGCTGCTGGTCGTAGACACAAACAATAACTAGAGGAACAGATCGTTTTTATATGAAGGAATGCTTGAGAAACCAATTTCCGTTGGTGACGTGCATGCAGTTTCATCTTCTTCATGTTTTATTACCTCTGCTGTTTTAAAATCAATCTAAAACTACATCACCAGATTATGTAACTACCAGCCTGCAGTGTCTGACGGTGGGAACACATTAAAACCTTAAAACACCACAGCACGTGTTTTATTTAATGTTTTAAAATCCTCTCCGTGGCTTCTTAATTGTAACACGAGTGTTGCTCCTCATGTCTGTGAACATGTTGTGGGAGTAGGTGTGCTTGATGTGAGTAAACAGAACTCTTGATGTGGATAATGGCTGGGTGGGGTGGCTCCCCGCGGGGCGGTGCAGTCTGAGGACTGTAAAGGGAAGTGTTCAGAGAGGCCTGCAGGCCGCTTCTCCTGCTGCACAGAAACAGGTTTATTCTTGGTTTTTTGGGGGTTTTCAGTCTGCTTGTGAGCAGGAGCTGATCAGACACGGAGAGGGCAGCCGGCTGAAAGTCAAGCTGTGTGAGGGGTATGTCAGAGACTGAAGACATCACGAGTGCTTTGCAGAACAAAGATGTGGAACATGTTTCTACAAAAGAGGAGAACCCCGCAGACGCTGTTGAATTTAAACGATATTAACATGTGAGTGTTGGGATTGCTGAGCAGAGATGAAACACTGACATTTAAACATGACAAGAAAGAAAGAATAGGAGAACTCCCTCCATTTGAATCTATGCACGATATTGTTGTGATGTTATCCATATTTTTGGATTCAGAGCTGAAATGATCAGTGAACTCATTGATTAGTCGGCCGACAGAAGAAACTTTGGTAAATGATTCATTGTTTGAGGATTTGCTGCTTTTCTCTGACATTAAACTCAACATATTTGGGTTTTGCACTGTTGGTCGAACAAGACAAGTAAAATGAACGAATCAACTTTGACATTTCATAGACTGAATGACTGATAAATGAAACAATGAATCAATACAATGATGTGCAGGCTCCCATCTTTAAAGAATCCCATTGTATCGGTCCAATAAGGTCAATTAATACGTTAAAAACGTCCTTAATGTTTAAGGAACCATTGTCTTCCATCAAAAAACAAAGTGGAGGCCTGTTTTACATGTTCAATGTGTGAGTTACAGAAGCAGCATATATACGGACTACGTTACAACATATCTCTCCTCACGGGGCGTTCAGGGACCTGAGGAAACCTTCATACCATAAAGTCACGACTCTGTAAAAAAACATCCACGCTCTCCTTCACCTCTCCTGACTCTCACCGCTGGACACTAATCTGATAACGCAGGAACGTTCTTTGTTTCTTTGCCTTTAAAGTCCTCAAGCAGGAGGCAGACGTTTGGGATCTTTAGACGGTCAAACTCCAACAAAACAAAAGCATCTTGAATGGAGTTCTGTTCAGTTCTAATACAAACATTCACTGTGACGGGGAATCAGGTCATATGTAACATGTACTGTGTTGAGTTATGGATTCTTTAAGTCGTCACATTAGATATTTTATCATAATCAGGATTTGATCCAACTTTAGATTTGGACAGTTTTTAACTGGAGGCCGTCGATTCATCATCAGCATGTTTTAATAAATCAACATCATATTTTTATTTCATCTCACGACTATAAACCATTTTTAAAGACATTTTTAAAATTGTGAAATATTAACATTTTCACTAATTCAGACTTTCAATGAAAAAGGCACAAAAGAAGTTGAGATACAATCTTTACATGTAAATACACTGTAATAAAAGTTTTATTTATTGCATATTTCTTCTGTACCGCGCTGCACATGTGGACAGATGTTACTCCAGGACGAGCTGCGTTTAAGACACTCCATGTGGGAAAGTGAGGTTTGTAGTATGTTTTAAACATCAATGTGTCATTAGCTGTGTCCCCATTTACATATTTTATGCATATTCTGAAGTATCGCATTAGAAAAGCTGTATCAAAACAGTAAAATTTGATAAAACGTCCTCATATGCGAAAAGACGTTTTTAGGCTCGATTGAGGGTTTTTTGTCGATGCCCTAAATGGAAACTTTTTTGCTGAATGAATTCTGAAGCAGAGAAGATTTAACTCACGTGACAGATCAGCTGTTTCCTGGATATATATATATATATATATATTGTCTTCATCTCCAGACAACATGAAAGAACAATTAAAACGTGTCCAACTGAAACAGCTTCCTGAAGACCTCTTTCCAACCTCTACTTCTTCTTCTACTCTGTTTGCTGAGGTTACAGAGATGCCTCCATCATTTCACTATCTGCCTTCAACGAAACACCCAACAGCTTTAACCCCGTTTGTTCTGGAATATCAGAGCTTTTTCTCCAGTTTTCTGGGAATATATCAGAATGTGGGGTGTTCTCTTCTGCCCCCTAGTGGCCAAAACCTCATTGATGCAGCTTTAAAGTTTGGGTCTTTGTACGATTGTAATAATATTTCTGTGAAGCCAAAAAAATACAAGCAGAACCGAGCTATGCTTTTATGTTTTTACTCATACATCTTTTTCACTCATTTCTTTATTATATGTATCTGACATTTCCGTGTCCTTCGTTTCTTATCCTCATCGTTACACGTTGGTCTTAATAAACACCTGATAAGTCATTGATATGGATGCGTTCCTCTGAATTTCCCTCTGTGTCATTCTGACAGCGCTTCTGTTGTAGTTTAGGAGATGGTGGAGAAGGACTTCACCATATCTGATATCTCTGCTTTTAAGTAAGAAAGACCAGCTGTACGGACTCCAGTCTGTGTGTGCTGGGGGTCTTCATTACAGTCCACACAGTGGCTCTCTCCACCAGTGGGTCAAACCTTCTTACAGAGGTTGGATCTTTCTTTAAAGGGCTCTGAGTGTAACTCATTTAAATAGCTTTGACTACAGTGATGGTCAAATGTGAAAGGACCTGCTGAATGTAACTCATTTAAAAGAGCTCTGGCAGCATGCCGGCTTCTCCAAACTAGGACACACACAACTAAACAGCACCCTGCCTTTTGTCCTAATCCCTGGCCCTCCACATGCTGTTGCCACCCAAGGTAACCCCCCCCAGGCAGGAAGGAGGGAGCCTTCAGCGGAGCGACTGAGCGTGTTGGATAAACTCTGGACCTCACCCAGGCCTTTTGTACCGAGTAGCAGAGCCAAAGAGCTTCTGAGCAGGGAGGAGAAACTGAGACGAAAAGTGAAACAATCCGTCTACTCGTCATTTAATCTGGTGTTAAGTCTTCTTAACAACTGAGGAACTGAAACGATCTCATCTAACTGCCTGCTTGTTTAAAGTTTAAGATGAGATCACTTGTTAAGATGGAGTCTATGAGCATGACGCCTGCAGAGCAGCCTGGCAGACTTTACATGAGACTGTATATGAGAAGTGGACATTGTCGCCGTGACCATGTGGACTACAGTTTTGCCCGTCGCCATCATGGTTTTAAGCCGTTGCCATCTTGGTTATTGGCCGCCGCCATTTTGCTTTATTGGAACCAAAAGTGATGAGTTATTATGAATCTAACTTTTTCTTGGCAAAACCCTGTGGGATCGGCCAGGCGTCCGAGCTCGCCGAGCTACAGGTAGCCTGATTAGTTTCAACCAATCGTATCTGCCTCAACTAGCTAGGCAGGGCGGGTCTTACCGAGATGAGCAGTGGGATTCACAACTACGCGATTATGTGACACAAGAGGGTGGAGCTACCGAATGCTGAGTAAAAGGCGACTAACATGTTACCATTTACTTTCATGAAGTGAGAACACACTGTGAAAGATTTAAAGTTATAAGTTGCCCTAAAGCATCCCCTGCTTTATGGTCTGTTTGACTCTAAATGGA